ATCTACAGCAAACCTACAGCCAATATTGTATTGAATGGAGTTAAATTGAAGTCATTTCCACTCAGGCAAGGTTGCCCATTGTTTCCATTGCTCTTTAACATTGTAATGGAAGTTTTAGCCATGGCAATTAGGGAAGAAAAGGCAATCAAGGGTATCCATATAGAATGAGAAGAGATTAAACTTTCACTCTTTGCAGATGATATGATTGTATACCTGGAAAATACCAGGGATTCTACTACAAAACTCTTAGAAGTGATCAAGGAATATAGCAGCATCTCAGGTTACAAAATCAACACTCATAAATCGGTAGCCTTTATACATACCAACAACAGTCAAGCTGAAAGGATAGTCAAGAACTCTATTCTGTTTATGGTAGTGCCAAAGAAGATGAAATATCTGGGAGTTTACCTAACAAAGGACACGAAAGACCTTTATAAAGAGAACTATGAAATTCTAAGAAAAGAAATAGCTAAAAATGTTAAGAAATGGAAAAACATACCATGTTCATGGCGGGGAAGAATTAACATTGTTAAAATACCCATACTACCCAAAGCAATATATAATTTTAATGCAATCCCCATTAAAGTTCCATTGTCATACTTTAAAGATGTCGAAAAAATAGTACTTTGTTTTATATGGAATCAGAAAAAAACCTCGAATAGCCATGACATTACTCAGAAATAAAAAGAAAGCAGGTGGAATCATGTTACCACACATCAGACTATACTATAAATCCATAGTGATCAAAACAGCATGGCATTGGCACAAAAACAGAGAGGTGAATGTATGGAAAAGAATAAGAACCAAGAGATGAACCCAGCTACTTACTGCTATATAATCTTTGACAAGACAATTAAAAACATTGAGTGGGGAAAAGACTCCCCATTTAACAAATGGTGCTGGACGAACTGGCTGGCGACCTGTAGAAGACTGAAACTGGATCCACACCTTTCACCACTAACTAAAATTGACTCTCACTGGATTAAAGATTTAAACTTAAGACATGAAACTATAAAAATACTATAAGAAAGTGTAGGGAAAACACTTGAAGTAATTGGCCTGGGTGAAAATTTTATGAAGAGCACCCCCTGGACAATTGAAGCAACATCAGAAATACACTACTGGGATCTTATCAAATTAAGAAGCTTCTGCACAGCCAAAAGCACAGTAAGTAAAGCAAGTAGACAGTCCTCTGAATGGCAGAAGATCTTTTCTGGTTATGTCTCTGACAAAGGTTTAATAACCAGAATCCACATAGAACTCAAAGTTATTAGCAAGAAGAGAACAATGATCCCCTCTCAGGGTGGGCAAGGGACTTGAAGAGAAACTTCTCTGAAGAAGAAAGGCGTGTGGCCTACAAACATATGAAAAAATGTTCACCATCCTTAATCATCAGAGAAATACAAATCAAAACTACTTTGAGATATCATTGAACACCAGTAAGATTAGCCCATATCAAAAATCTCAAAATCATAGATGCTGGTGTGGGTGTGGAGAAAAGGGAACACTCCTACACTGCTGGTGGGATTGCAAACTAATACGTTCCTTTTGGAAAGACATCTGGAGAACACTTAAAGAACTAAAAGTAGACCTGCCATTTGATCCTATAATTCCTTTATTAGGTATATATCCAGAAGACCAAAATCACACTACAACAAAGATATTTGTATCAGAATGTTCACTGCAGCCCAATTCATAATTGTTAGGCCATGGAAGAAGCCCAAGAGCCTATCGATCCACTAATGGATCAATAAATTGTGGTATATGTACACCATGGAATACTATGCAGCCATTAAGAAAGATGGAGACTTTACCTCCTTCATGTTTACATGGATGGAGGTGGAAAATGTTCTTAGCACAGTGTCCCAAAAATGGAAGAAAAAGTATCCAATGTACTCAGCCCTACTATGAAACTAATTTATAGCTTTCATAGGAAAGCTATAACCCAATTTTAGCCCAGGAACATGGGGAGAGGGGAGAGGGAGGGGAGGGGAAGAGGAAAGTGGGTGAAGGGAGGGTGATTTGTGGGATCACGCCTATGGTTCATCCTATAAGGGTACATGTGAATCTCTCTAGAATATAAATGTCTTAACATGATAACTAGGAGGAAGACATGAAGACTATGTTAACCAGTTTGAGGAAAGTTTTTCAAATTGTATATAGAAACAGTACACTGTACCCCATGATAGTATTAAAGTACACTGTTATGATTTAATAAAAAAATAAAAAAAAGTTCAAAAAAATTTTTTTAGTCAGTTGGACTTTCATCCTGAGTGATTAAATAGTTCAAAGAAAGGCAGCAACATGAGAGTACTTTGAAATTGTATTAATTTCACTAAGGCAAAAAGGAAAAGTGTTATATTACACATTCTCTTAGGTAAGAGGTAGAAACAAAATTTACTGTAGTGGGACTTGAAGCACTTTTCTTACTTTGATTTATGAAATATTTAAATATACAGAAAACTTTCAAACAGAATAAAAAGTTCACTCAAAAAATTGAAAATTTTGAAAACATTTTTAATATTTTCTCTCATCTTATTTATTTCCATCTCTCATTTCTCTCATCATTTCTAAATAAGTTTCTGATATCATGACACTTCATGTGGAAAAAGGCTGTGTCTGTCCCAAATGACACTCCCTTACCATATTTTCTGTACCTTTCTCATCACATCTAATTTATGATTCCTTAATAGCATAAGATATTCCATCTAGATGAAATTTTTTCCCATTGTCTCATGTCATTTAATTGTTTTCCTCCAGTTAAGGACTATGAACTACATTACTTTTGGTGCCTTTTCTGTCTTTTAGCTGAGAGTCGTCCTCCCATATTTTGTCTTCATGACATTGATTTCCACCCTCTACTGGATGTTGATTTTTGAGTGGATCAGGCAGTGGTCAAAATAATCTCCCTATCTTGAGGTCATCTGATTAGTAACCTCAATTGCAGCTGCAAAATTACTTGGTCAGGAAAAATAAAATAGCCACATCTGTGATATAAGTAGACTATGGTTACAGTGATCAAAATTCTACCTATCGTAGACTGGTTGGGGCACAATAATCTCTCAGCCCTGTGTTACCTGTGGGGATTATGTGGCTTACAGTTTCTTGGTAGTTCCTTGTCTGATCTCCTGGATTGTAGCTGTATTTAAGTTTACTACTCAATGATAGACTCAAGGGTTCCCTATAAAGATATCTGCAGGTTTACCTTTGTGCAGTTTCCCCCTCTCTGGTGACCTCCTGTAAACTGTAGCCATCTCAGCCTCCCAGACTCCTGCATCTGGCTCCTGAACTCAGTGAATCTTTTGTGGCTTCCTTGCTTTCCCTTTTACTGCAGTAGTTTAGAAAGTGTCTTTAGACTGACTGTTGGGACAGTTGTGGTTCAATGTGGTTCAATGTTAGAAACCATGAACAGTGGTTTCATGTATTTTGCATAATTTTTGATCAAAGTATAAGTTCAATGTAGTCCTTCCACCATGGCTGGCCAGGAGCTTTTTATTTAATGTTCTATCAGTCAGTTAGAGACTTTATGCTTTTGGATCCTCAAGCTGTCCCAATCTTAGCCAATGTGAATCCCTTCACACTGGTTCTGACACATCCTCATTAGTTTCTGAGCATTTATTTGCTCTTTAGAAAGAATGATGTCCTGGATTTGCCTTATACATTCCCATATGTCCAGGACTGGGATAATTTATCCTCCTGAGAGTTGTTGTTCTTTGTGCTGTTGAATGGTTATGTGGAAAGGCAATTGTTCTTTGGTATCTTCCAAGACTGTGGGACAATTAGTAAATTGTTTTTCAACTTAAATTTTTGAATATACCAGATAAAAGATGACTATCTGGAGTGTACCATGTTTAAAGGAGAAGACTACTCTGAGTAAGGGATTATGTTAAAAAAGTAATTATCTTTCAGTTTATTGACATTATATATTATCTAAGTTATTGATTTGGAATTGGATCATTATCTGTCCCTCTCTGAGGAATTGAGAAATGTATTTTGGTTGCCAGGAGAAATTGCTTCCGGGAAGTGTTGCCATTTATTGGAAAGAGCCTGAGGGTGCTAATATCTTGCAATTCTAATGACAGATATGCATAATAAAAATTTTTTTCTCCCCAATTCCCAATATTTCCTCATTGAGCAATTCAGATTATGCCATGATTTAATGTTGAAACATGAAACATTTCTATGTGTTTTGCTACACTTACCTGACTTTGGGTAAGTGGCCACAATAAGATCATCAGGCCTGGCTTGGAAATTATAGATTTTATCCCACATTTCTTTTGACGGTATTAGCAAAGGGACTCCATGCACATGTAGTACGTTCAGTGGTGTTATCTTTTTTTCGAGAGAGCGAGCATTTTTCTCAATCTCTGCCATTGAGAATCCAAAACTGATACAGTCAGCCCTATTTAAAATAAAATATTCATTTTTTATTGTTCATAGTAAGAATTACTATGTTACTGGTATTGAATATAAAAAGTAATGAAAACTAATATATATAAGAAGTCAACAAGCCACTCTATTTCCTTTATTAAGTTTTCACAGCAACCACATAAAATAGGTAATGTTGCTTCTCTTTTCTAGATGAGATCATTATATGTTAAGTGATTTGATGAACACTACTGATTATTGGAGGTGAGATTTGTACTCAAATAGTCTGTATCTTTGTTCGTGTTCTAACAATCTTATTATCTGTTAGATTAATAGGAAGAAGAGTGGTAATGTCTCATATATTGCTTAATACTTTTCATAATATTTTTTATGATTATAAATAAGACTATTATGTAGAAGAAAAATCAATGCAATTGTTTAGAGGGACTTTTTAGAGTCAGTTTTCTTGTTTAGTTTCAATAGTAAACAATCATCAAAGAATAGGCTTTCATATAATGTTTATGAAATCATTTTTCATATATTAGAGTTTAGAGTATGAAAATCTGTCATATATTTCAGGTTTAGAGTATGAGAATCTGTCATATATCTATAGGAGTCTACTAAATATGGAAAACTGAGATTACATTGGGGTATATCTGGTACATTTAACCCTTATGTACATACATTTAAAAGACTATATTCCATTTGAATGGGCAAAAATAATCTTCTTATAGTTGACAGAAAAGAAGCTCTGCAGTGAGATGAAAAAGGGCAACAGAAGAGTTTAGGGTAAGGATGACATAATGATATATTAAATCAGTGACTAAATAAGCAGAACTAAAATAGGCAGAGCTCTCCAGACACAAGGGGATGAGAGGAGATAGAATGGGGGTCCCAGCATAGCCAGGAGGCCAGTGTGGCTGTAACAGGTGAGGGTGGGAGCAAGGAGGCATAGTGCCTGGCTGGTGACCTCAGGTGTACCACAGCCTGTCTCATATTTACTGGATCAGAATTTGCACTTTAACAAGGTCCCTGGGCATTTAATACATCTTATAGTTGAAGAAACTCTGGTCAAGGTACCCAGATCAGGCAGCAACTGTGAGTCCTCACTGGCCCCTCCTACTCACCACCCAGCTGGGTCAGAGGCAGCTTTTTTCACCTGCTATCTGGTTTTCATTCATTTCTTTGTTACTGGCAATCGGGGAATTCTGTTTCTTTTGGTGTTGAACTTACCCTTCACTTAAGGAGATATTTGTAGTACGTTACCCAGAAATTTCTGAGCGTTGCCATGGGAGTATGTAGAGAAAATTTAGATCACTAAATTCTAGGAGTCAGAGGCCCATGTCTCTTTCTCTAAGCGCTTGTGAGCAATCAACTTACTCCCTGGGCGTCATACCTTGCTGGGCACTACAGTAAAGTCTGCAGGTACAGCTAGTAAAGGACAGGGCTGTTGTGAGAAAAGGACTAGCAAAGCAGAGAGGTGTTATGGGAAATCTGGGATAAAATCCCAAGATTCTCTGT